TACAGACATGTTCGTCTTCTTTCACGAAATCAGACAAGCGCATTTTTCACGTAGATTCGATCACACGTAAGGTCGACATTGTAAAGATAGTAAAAAGCGATCTTTCATTAATCAAGTCTAAATATCACACTTCTCCTCTGTAACACGTGATTGTCCTCAGACCTTCAGCGGAAAACATTATTTGCTATGTAAGGGCTATGTAGTCTACCACCATGGCTCTGTATGAAGCTGAATACCTCGTCAGAAAGTTTGCACGGAAGATCGTTTCTTCACGTTTTCAGCTACCAACAGCGTTCATTCGACCGCGGCCGCCGTGCCTCTTTGGTAGGTATAATTTGGCCGTAAATGATCTGAAATTTTGCATGCAGAAATCTGTCAGAGTAGTCTGACTTCTCAGTCAAAATCATCCATAGTGGTCTGAGACCATTTGGATGGCGATTACCTCGGAAAGTGTATCCTGGCACTCAGCACTCATTCCGCCAAAGTATTGACGTTCGCTAATCCTGCTTAAGGAAGAAACCTCACTAAAAACGTGAGGGGTTCGTTCAATGCCTTAATCGCATTTTCTTTCACTTGCTGAGATTCGGTCCGGATAACTTCTTGCCATCGCAGATATTTAGTATTTGGGTCCAGCTTTATTCCTGACTGCGCCCCGCCATGGAAGCGCAAGTTTTTTACTAAAGGGTTCCACAACTGACATGCAAAACTACATATTTACCAAAACTGATCGGATAAAACCACATACCAGCTATAAGGTATACTGGAATAAATTTCAATTTCTTGTTCAGTTTCACATTATTTATGTAAAACAAGATGAACAGCTTCGCATTGTACCTCTCCTTAATGAAGTGAACATCTTAATTTATTCAACAATTTACAAAGCTGGTTCTATGCTAAGCAGAACCAATTCATTATTAGTATTATCCATTCAACTATAATTATTACTATTGTTGTTATCTGTTCAGCATTGCTACCAATTTAGATATAAATAGAAGTGAGATAGGTGGCCTGTTGTATGCAACTGAAAATTCAGGCTGATATCTCAGTGCATCAACGTCCCTCTTTCGTCAAATCATGGGCTTCAGCACTGTAATTACTGTTAAAAAGCTAACAGAATCTATGTCCAATAAAGACACATTTCGAATTTGCTCCTCTGAAAATATTTGCTACAGAAAATGAATACATTCCTAGCGGACAAAGAATCACAACAAAGTTTACAGCCATAAATAAAAAATGTGAATGGATTACAAGATCTTAGAACGGATATTCAATGATAACCCAGTCATAGCCAGTTCCAAGATTAGCTGAGAAAGTAGGATGGCTAGAGACCTAGTGAAAATCTCTCGTAAACCTCAACCACTTTCCTCTAATGGTATCGCCGAATAATACTAGATCGGTCATCGCTGGGATACCAAGGGCCTCGAATGCTGTTGAGAAGTTGAGGCAAATGTGAAAAGTCGGTGAGCAGAACTTACCCCATGGGTTGCAAGTGCTGCGGTCGTAGTAGCACGACAATCACTGTCGAAGATCGTCAAAAAAAAGAAAATCATATTCAGGAACAGACCACCACCCTTTCCGAACGGAGGAGGCAGACAATGAAATGCCAATATATCAAGAAAAATAACATTCCACGGAACGATACCAACAATAACATCTCACAGTTGAAAATTGAAACATTTCCTTACTCAGAAGGAACGAGCAGGAGCGAGTAGATGCTACGAAGCTGTAAGGTACCGACTGAATAGAGGTTGACTCTCATGAACAACCTTGAAACTATGAGCCACTGTGTGTGAAAGCTGTTCTACTCAAAAGGCGACCTGCTAATAAGAGCTCAGCCCGGCGTTTGCGTTCTAATAGAACCCAACCACGCTCCCAAAGCCACTGAATGGAAAGCCTGTCAGTGGAACGGTGGCAATCATTCGACTCAGGTTTTAACAGGTTAAAGCTTTGACTTTGCTACACGTGGATGCGCCTAATGCGAGGGCAGAACATGAGTCATTCTTGGAAGGAGCAAGAAACACTCTGTACGAAGTAGTGACTACGGAATCAATAAATCTAACGGATAGTTTCACTTTCTATGTTGGATCAAACATTGTAAAGTGGAAAGGTATAATTCGAACTAACTGCTCCAAGACCTCAATAATAATGGCCTGAAGTGCTTGCGCCTTTGTATAGACAAAAACTATTCGTTATGAACAGCTTCTTCGAGCATCGAAGCGTGCAAGAGTATATCTGGCACAGGGAAGCTTGAACACAGAAGTCGAAGTCAAAGTCGGCTTAAACAGATGTCAGTGATAGCTAAGATATGCGGACCAAGACTATTTAAGCGTGACCAACTCGATGCTCCCGCGGCTGCGGCTTAAAACGGGTTGAACTGCAGCCTGGATGTCAAAAACAAACTTTCTGCTGGACAAGACAGATACAACCGTCGAGATGTCGCCGAGAAGAAGGCTGTCTTCAAGAAAGGGCTTGAAAGCAAAGAGCATGAAGAAACGAACAAGATGGGAGCGAACACAAGGACGAAAGACAAGGCTGATTCCTGGGAGAGGTGAGGTGTTGGAGTTAAATTTCCAGACGGCTAAGAAAGTATTCTGGCAGACCATCCGTTGACTCCGGAGAAGAAAGAAGAATAGTTTAAGAGTCTTCAATGACAAGTCCTTACTTTTGCCAGGAATGATGAAATACTTCAGTGATGGAAATAGCACTCCCTTACCCCATGCAACCGCTGAAAGACTAACCTGAAGAGTAGCAATGAATGGATATTAGTATTTGAGTAGTTGAAATCAAATAAGCTGTGAAAAGTTTGGAAGGTTTAAACACTGCTGGAAGTGGGATTCTCTGTTTTCACTAGGCTGCTCGCAAAATGAAGAAAATGGTTTACTTGTTTAGCAGCGCCAAGCAGCATCATTGATTTTCATGTCTATACAGGACGCCAGTACCAGGAAGAGGCTTGAAGCGTTCGTTACATATTCATGCATTGTAACTTTGACCCACGTTGAACTAACGCTGTTGTACACACCACAACGACCATTTCTGATTTTCTTTTAGAGAAACTGTGTCCATGCTAAATAACACTTGTTTATCTGAAACAACTCATAGAAGGACGTTTGCTTTGTATCCAAGGCTACCGATCATACTGTCAGCAAGAGCGATTCTCTCTGAGACTCTAAGCTACTGACAGTACTGATTACAAGGCTTGAGGTATTGCAGCAGAGATCAACTGGTTGCCCGTCTCTACTATTCCATTTATCTTCTGTGACAGATTAATTCCTTATGACTTCTGAACCTCTTGCCAA